TCCTGTTCTGTGATGTAATTAACATTAAGTGTGGGCATCATAGCACTTTTAATGTTAAAGACTCAAGAAAACCTCACAGTTGCTATTTTTAAAACAGCTTTTGGAGGACAATTTGTTCCCATTTCTTTTGCTCATTCTTAAGTGTGTAAGTGAAGAAGCAGACCATTTGGCCCATCAACTCTGCTCCACCATTCAATGATACCATGGCTGATCTGATAATCCTCAACTCCACTTTCCTGCCTTTTCCCCATAACCCATGTTTCTCATATTGATTAAACATCTGTCTACCTCAATATTGAATATATTAATGACCCACCCCTCTATAGTAAAGAATCCACAGATTCACTACCCTTAGGTAGAAAAAAAAGTCTTCATCTCTACTTTAAAAATGCAGCTCCTTACTTTGAGGTTATACGCTCTGGTCCTAAACTCTCCCACAGCAGGAAAAATCCTTTCCACATCTCCGGGTGGGAGAGGAGGACACTCATCCACTCCAACCGTTCCTTTTTCTTTTTGTTTCTCTTTTGTCTGTTCTTTTTTTTCTCTTTCTTTTCAGCGCGGCCCTGAACTCCCGGCCTCAGTGTGGACTCAGACTCTTAGCTTCAGCACATACCCAGTAAGGCAGTCTCCCAGCGTGGCAAGCTCTCGGCCCAGCACTGGCGCTTGACCTGGCACAGCGATCTCCCGGCAGCATGTGGCGGTCCTTCGGCCTCAGTGTGGAATCCTGGCTGGGAGGCGATCCCAAAGCCATCTCCTGCCTCAAGAACCTTGGGGTGAAGTCCGGTGCAGTCTGGAATCAAGGCCCAGCATGGACTGGATTGGAATGATGTTGTTCTGACCTTTTTATTTCTCTATTTTCTAATTTTTTCCTACAATCCGTAATGCTGGACTTCTTATTTCTTTACTTTTCTAATTTTTTTTCCCTAAGAACTTGTACTGAAGAATCTGTACCTTGTAACTAAGATGGCATCTTAAGGTGTCTTTTCACTGTACTCATTTGAGTATATGTGACAATAAAGTTAATTTGAATTCGAGTGAGGTCACCTTTTAGTCTTCCAAGCTCTAATGAGTACAGGCATAAACTATTCAATCTGTCCTCATAAGACAGTCCTTCCACACCCGGAATCAACTTTGCGAACCTTCTCTAGATTGCCTCCAATACCAGAAATGTTTCCCCAGTTAAGGGGCCCTAAACTGTTCACTAGTCTGTGGGTTCAATCATGTGACAGGTCCCAAAATTTTGTTATGACCAGGTGAGGAAGGGTCATGGATCTTTACAGTGATGAGGTTTGCAAATACACCTAGTTTCTCAATCTAACAGTGGTTCTTACAAGTTGTTGTTTTCACCAACACTGCTTAGTATGTGAGAAAGAGAGTCAAGAGCTTCCAGTATCCTTGCTGTGTTCAGTCCTTATTTCTTTCTCTATGTTGTTGCTCATCACAGGCCACTGAAATATGGTTAATTTGTATATTTCAAGTCTAGGTCCATTGTCTTTTACAAACTGAACACTCTGCAGATAATCTTTTATTTCCAATGTGTGGTAAACCTGGAACGGTGAATAAGAAGAGACGGAAATCTCTTGACACTTCATTGAGTTTTGGTGCATCCTGACTAATGTGGCAGCTGGCTTCTGAAATTCCATGTGGATCTCCTGGTCATGTGACCACAGCAATCATTTCAGATCAGCTGTGTCCTTTCTTTAAATCATTCTTAGTCCATGAAATACTCACATATTAAACGAGAGATATTGTGAGCCTAGTCAAAAAGAAAAAGGAAACATTTGTCAAGGTTAGGAGGCTGGGAACACACGAAGCAAGGGTGGAATACAAGAAAAGTCAAAAGGAATTTAAGCAAGGTGTCAGGCGGGCTAAAAGGGGTCATGAAAGATCATTGACCAACAGGATTAAGGAAAATCCCAAAGCTTTTTATACATACATAAAGAGCAAGAGGGTAGCCACAGAGAGGGTTGGCTCACTCAAGGACAGGGAAGGGAATTTATGTGTGGAGCCAGAGGAAATAGGTGAGGTATTAAATGAATACTTTGCATCAGTATTCACCATTGAGCAGGACTTGATGGATGATGAGTCTGGGGAAGGGTGTGTAGATAGTTTGGGTCATGTTGAGATCAAAAGGATGAGGTATTGGGGGTCTTGAAAAACATTAAGGTAGACAAGTCCCCTGTGCCTGATGGAATATACCCCAGAATACTGAGAGAGGCAAGGGAGGAAATTGCTGGGGCCTTGAGAGAAATCTTTGTATCCTCACTGGCTACAGGGGAGGTCCCAGAGGATTGGAGAATAGCCAATGTTGTTCCTTTGTTTAAGAAGGGTGGCAGGGATAATCTAGCTAATTACAGGCCAGTGAGCCTTATGTCAGTGTTAGGGAAATTATTGGAGAGGATTCTTCGAGACAAGATTTACTCCCACTTGGAAATAAGTGGGCATATTAGTGAGAGGCAACATGGTTTTGTGAAGGGGAGGTCATGTCTCACTAACTTGATTGAGGTTTTTGAGGAAGTGACGAAGATGATCGATGAGGGTAGGGCAGTGAATGTTGTCTACATGGACTTCAGTAAGGCCTTTGACAAGGTCCCTCATGGCAGACTGATACAGAAGATAAAGTCGCACGGGGTCAGAGGTGAGCTTGCAAGATGGATTAAAAATAACTGGCTCAGTCATAGAAGACAGAGGGTGGCAGTGGAAGGGTGCGTTTCTGAATGGAGGGCTGTGACTAGTGGCGTTCCTCAGGGATCGGTGTTGGGGGGGGCCTTTGCTATTAGTAATATATATAAATGATTTGGAGGAAATTGTAACTGGTCTGATTAGTAAGTTTGCAGATGACACAAAGGTTGGTGGAATTGCAGATAGCGATGAGGACCGTCAGAGGATGCAGCAGGATATTGATTGGTTGGTGACTTGGACAGAGAGATGGCATATGGAGTTTAATCCGGAAAAATGTGAGGTAATGCATTTTGGAAGGTCTAAGCCAGATGGAAAATATACAGTAAATGGCAGAACCCTTAAGAGTACTGATAGGCAGAGGGATCTGGGTGTACAGGTACACAGGTCACTGAAAGTGGCAACGCTAGTGGAAAAGGTAGTCAACAAGGCATATGGTATGCTTGCCTTCATCAGCCGGGGCATTGAGTTTAAAAATTGATGGGTAATGTTGCAGCTTTTATAGAACCTTAGTTAGTCCGCTTTTGGAATATTGTGTTCAATTCTGGCTGCCACACTACCAAAAGGATGTGGTGGCTTTAGAGAGGGTACAGAAAAGATTTACCAGGAACTTGCCTGGTATGGAGGGCATTAGATATGAGGAGAGGTTGGTGAAACTTGGGTTGTTCTCACTGGAACGACGGAGGTTGAGGGGCGACCTGATAGAGGTCTATAAGATTATGAAGGGCATGGACAGAGTGGACAGTCAGAAACTTTTTCCCAGGGTGGAAGAATCAGTTACCAGGGGCCATGGGTTGAGGGGCAAGATGTGAGGGGCAAGGTTTAAAGGTGATGTACAAGGCAAGTTTTTTGCACAGAGGATGGTGGGTGCCCGGAACTCACTGCCGGGGGAGGTAGTGGAAGCAGATACTATAGTGACTTTTAAAGGGCGTCTTGACAAATACAGGAATAGGATGGGAATAGAGGGATACGATCCCTGCAAGAGTAGGGGGTTTTAGTTGTGACAGGCAGCATGTCGGTGCAGGCTTGGAGGGCCAAAGGGCCAGTTCCTGTGCTGTAATTTTCTTTGTTCTTTGTTCTAAAGTCAAATGGTGAAAGTTGAATATTGATGGTACATTTTAACTACAGTGGTAATGATACTATAAATGTGTGTACAGATTATGTATAGATGTTGTAATGGTGTTCATGAGTACAATGTTAAAGATTACTCTCTAGAGGTTTTAAATGTAGATTTGGATAAAGGCAGTAGAATGTTACAGATTACTGCAGCAACATGTATAAGATCAGTGAGGTGTTAGAGATTACTGCACAGGTGACACTGTGTATAAAAGATGGAGAATATTAAGAAGATTTATGAAGAAGATTATCTGACAAGGAAAGGATAATCTTTGGGGCCTTGAAAGAATAAATACTTGTCAGTTAATGATCAACTAAGTCAATGTTGAGTCAGCATGGACTAAAGCATAACTAAGTGATCTATGCTGTGGGAACTGGGAGACGACAGACCCGAGTTGACACTCATTTGGTCATACCTTCTCTCATACTGATCTCTTGTGACTGCTTTATGATTATGTTTTATTAGCAGAATTTATTTCCAGAACACACCTTACTCAACTATTGGTGAGAGGCGGTCAGTCTCCCTTTTGTTCCTTCCTTACCTTTTTTCCAGGGAGGTTTAAAACTTTCTCCAAGCCTTATGGTACATTCAGTTCATTTAAGCAAACTGCATCCCTTCCTTTTGCTGTTTGATTAAAAATCAGGAGAATATTAAAAATCCAGTTTGGCAGATCAACTGTTCACCCAATCCCTTCCCTTGGATTATTTTCAACGTGCACTAAGTTATCCCACTGCCCTTTGTTGCCATTTATTAAACAGAAGATCCCTGAAATGTGAAGACCAGAAAGGTGCACATTGTTCCAGCTCTGATGGAGAAACTTTCAATTTTCTGAAACCCAACTGCCCTAGCCTGGTTTTTTGCTGTGTCAGATAAATGTCTGACTTTCAAACATTTTATTAACGTCGTCTATCGTTTTAAAAATCTCGTCAAAAAAGAACATTGTCGCTTTACATGGTTACAGTGGATGAGGGAGGCTTTTGGTATATCCTTGTTCATCAATCAAAAACACTGTCCGCTCCCAGCCCCTTGCCCCGCTCCTGAATAATTGAAGGGTTTTTCCACCTTCCACATTCTGCAGGACAGGTCACTCTCAAATGCTGCTCTACTAACAAGCAGTGCCTTGTATCTGCCCTATACTTTCACTCTTACTTCTGCTACATAATTTTTTTTATTGCAACGAAAGGATACATCACATCAAGCAATCCCATTTATGGCAAATTAAACCAGAATTTATTATAATACATTGTTTGTTACCTTCTCTGCAAACAATGATCAAAGTCTGATATTTGTTCGTTCTGAATTACATTATTAAGTCAATTGACGTTATGGTTACAACGTTGTGTAATGAAAACAGGTACAGACAAAGTATCAAAACCTCTAGAAATTCACCAAATCCAGAGAAAGTAGCATTATTATAGCAGTACGTGTGTGTGATTTATATTAAAAGGATGGCCATATTTAGAGCTAAGTATTTTTGTTTAAGGCATAAAAATGAATGAAATGACTGTTGACTGTGATCAGTGAAAACAGGCACATAGTACTCTAGTGTAATAATGTAGAGATTGAGTGTTCAAATCCCATTGTGACCAGGTATGACTTTGAATTTCCAATCAGGTCATTTGTGAGTTGGCACCAGATGAAAGAATTCCTTTTAAACAAAAAATCAGAACTTTTTCATGAACATCCTTACATTCTTGGTAATCCGTGTTGGAAAGCTACTTCGGCCTTTAGAAAACTCCACTCACTTTCTTCACATAAGCATTGCTCTTACTGGGCTCTGTTTGTGACTGGTTCACTGGCCACATGGGTGTTTTCCTGGTGGTGGAAATATTGAGTAAAGTTGCTTGCACACGGTGTCTTCACTGAGTCACTGCACATACACAAACACACAACATGGGTGGTGTTGGGGGGCAGTGGTAGCGTAGGGAGAGGAAAAAAAAACCTCAACTCACCCCTTGATTGGATGGGCAATAACTAATTTTGCAAACATACTGCCCACATCTTGAGCACTTTTTTTTAATCCAAGCTTAAGAATTGCAATTCAATGTTGCCAGGAATGAAATCCAACTGCAACAGAGTCACAAACAGGTACTGCAGGATGAACCGGCTGTTGTAGATATTTTTCTTGCCCAGATAGGAGCAGGTGGGGCTTGAACGCAGGCCTCCTAGTACAGAGGTAGGAACACTACCACTGTGCCCCACAAGAGTCCCATTAGAACCGGCTGTTGTACACTCTGTCCAATTTTATTGCAGTCAGGCGGGGTGGCGAACAGGTAGCCGACCTGGACCTCCCCAGAAGATGCATGTTAACTCAAATTTGAAGAGCTAGCACCAATCCCAGGCACAGCAAGCCAAGTGCATTCCATTAACTTAGCAGCCGTTTCGAAATTATCAGGAAAATCTGCATGTGGACTCAAGAGTCAAATCAGGTCTTTGTTTGATTTTTGGTGCGGGAAGTCAGCGTTGCTCTGAGCCCCGGCTGTTTCGTTACCCGAAGACTGAGTTCTAACAAGCAGCTGTTGCTGAAATCAAAAGGTTTCGGAAAAGAACTGTCGGATCATGCACACCAAGTCTCAACAGGTTTCTGTGGAAGGGGGTTCCAGATTCCCTTGACCCTTTCTGTGTGGACGTGCTTCCTGGCATCTCCCTGAATGTCCTGTTTCGAATTTGAAGGATATCCCCCTTTATTCTGGCATCATGCACCAAAGGAAACTCATTCTCCACAGCTCAACCTACTGAATCCTTTCATCACCTTAACACCTCCAATAGATCAGCCCTTCATCTTCCGTACTCAGGAGAATGCAGCTATTGAGGCAGATGAGATGGCACCACGTGAGCCTGAAAAGAGGAATAACGGGGAAAGGTTGACTAGAGGCTGAAGCTCCAGGAAGCCCAAGCAACTGAGGGTTGCTCTGGCCGCTGTTTGGACATTAAGTTTTGAGAAAACCAGCCACAGATCAGAGAACCCGAGGTTCCATCGACAGGATCTTTGAAGACATTGACTGGAACGATTGTCTGTGGTATGTGTTCCCTATATCCCATTTTATGGATCAACACCCGTAGCTGGAGGATAAGGTAATGCCAGCAGCTGTAACATCTGGAGTTGGATCTCAATAACACAGGCCACAGAGACATGAAAACCACCTCCCACTCTTTGATATTGTTTTGACCAAATTCAAGCTCATGCAGGCAAAGATCACAAAGAACTATAGGGTGGAAGATGGGGATAAAGAAATCTGGCTACAATTGTACAAAGTCTTGGTGAGACCACACCTGGAACACTATGTGCAATTTAGATACACGTATTTAAGGAAGGACATACCTGGGTTGGAGACTGTACGGGAAACTAGTCCTTGAGATGAGAGACAGAGGAAATTGGGCCTATATTCTCTGGAGTTTAGAATGAGAGCTGATCTCATTGAAGCATACAAGATTCTGAAGGAACTTGATAGGGTCAACACCAAGAGGTTGTTTCCCCTGGTTTAGGACACAAGGAGCTGTCTCAGGAGAAGGGGCCAATCATCTTGCCCTGAGAAGAGGAGAAATTGCTCCAAACAAAGGGTTGTAAATGCTGCATGATTCAATCCATTTGGGACTGAGATCGACAATGTTTGGTCACTTAGGGAATTGATAGATATGGGGAACAAGCAGGAAAGTAGAGTTAAAGCTAAAGAACAGGGAGAGGTGCTCAACGGGACGAATGGTCTTATGCATTGGTGTGAGCAGATGATTGGAGCCCTTGCAACAGACAGTTCTGGAATGGTATCAGTGGTGGTATCACCCACCTTCCACTCTTGTCTGGTGATAACCCACGGCAGCAGGAAGGATGACAGATAAGGAGTGCTCAAATAATCAGATTCTATCCTCAAAATCATCACCATTGTCAATTCTCAGAGTGAACAGTTTATACCACTGACACCCCTTCTGTATATTGCATAATCTGGTCAATCACATCGAGACATCAGAATGTAGTTAGAATAAAATCACATTGCCATTGAAGGAAGGGCAGCAGGTAATAAACACTGATTTCTTTTTGGATTCGTAGATTAACGCATGATTAACTTAACAGAAACTGATTAATCCAGTTGTTAACTGGTCAATTTTGTTTTTTTTTTGCAGCAGTGCGCGCCTGAGGAGATTCAGCACAGATTCTTCAGGAACTCCAGCACTGTGCGATGCCACTCCTCAGGGTTATCGAGGTAACAGGCATGCTGTGCGCCCGTCATAACGTGCACCTTGTGGTTAGCCAGGTTTCTCAGATGGTTGAACGATGTCTCTCCCATCGACTTGTCCTCTTGACCGTAGACAATCAGCGTTGGGGTCTGTGAAGAGTGTGAAGTATCAGTCAGTGACCCAGGCCACTCTGTGTAGTCAACGTAGTGCACTGGGGCCCAATGCAGCAGCACCTTCCACCTCTCTAATCGTGGTAATGCTAGGAATAAGAGCTGTCAGGTTTTAGTGGGTGGCACGGGGCTCAGGGACCTGGGTTTGATTTCAGTCTTGGGTGACTGTCTGTATGAAGTTTGTGCGTTCTACCCAGCAGTTCATTTTTTGCTTGGGCATTTTACAGCCTTAAAGGACTCAACACTAGGTTCAACAACTTCAGAAAATAACTTCTGTACCTCCGTCCTCCATCTTGCTTATGCCCCAATTCCACACCGACCATCTATTGTTCACTCTCAGAAAAGTTAACCTATTTTCCCATATTAACATCTTTCATTAATACTCACCCTTTCCTATCTCCTTTCCACGAACATTAGCATTCTCTTCGTCTTTGCCTCCAGACACCCACTCACTTCTCCTCCCCTCTGTCTACAGCAAGAAAACCACCATTTTTCAGCCCTTTTCAGTCCTGGAAAAGAGTCACACTGGACTCAACACATTTACTTTGTTTATAGAGTCATAGAGATCTAAAGCACATAAAAAGACTCTTTGGCCCATCATATTCTTGCACTTGGCCCATAGCCTTGTACCCCTTGACATCACGAGTGCATATCTAAATACTTCTTCAATGTTGAGGGTTTCTGCCTTCTACCTTCCGTGATTTCCAGATTCCCACTGCACTCTGGGTAAAAACAATTTTCCTCACATCTCGTCTAAACCTCCTGCCCCTTACCATATCTTACCTCACCTCGGGGCGGCACGGTGGCTCAGTGGTTAGCACTGCCTCACAGCGCCAGGAATCAGGGTTTGATTTTACCCTCAGGCGACTGTCTGTGTGGACTTTGCACATTCTCCCCGTGTTTGCGTGGGTTTCGTCCGGGTGCTCCGGTTTCCTCCCACAGTCCAAAGATGTGCAGGCTAGGTGGATTGGCCATGCTAAATTGCCTGCAGTGTTCAGGGATGTGTAGATTAGATGGGTTATAGGGAGATGGTCTGGGTGGGATGCTCCAAGGGTTGGTGTGGACTTGTTGGGCCGAAGGGCCTGTTTCCACACCGTAGGGATTCTATGATGTCTATGATGATAAATCTATGCTCCCTCCATCAAGGGGAAAAGCTTCTTCTTGTCTACCCTATTATGTCCCTCATGATTTTATACATCTGAATCATGTCTCCTCTCAATCTCCTCTGCTCTAAAGAAAACAATCCCACTCTGTCCAAGAAGCTCTTTATAAACTCTCCAGCCCAGGTAACATCCTGGTAAATCTCCTCTGCACCTCCTCAAGTACAATCACATCCCTCCAGATGGATTCTAGAGCTGCACAATACACCCCAATTCTACAGCTGCTGCCAGAACTGCAGAGTTTCTTCAGTACATCCTGATGCTATTTCAGATTTCCAACATCTGCAGTTCTTTCTTTTAACTAGATAAAAGCCAATGTCCACTTTGGTATGCAACCATACTGATTAACAACAACAATGCATTTATGGAGCGCTCTTTACAGACAGAGGTTTGCACATAAGAACCAGGAGCAGGAGTGGGACATCTGGCCCCTCGAGCCCAGTTCACCATTCAATAAGATCAGGCTGATCTTTTTATGGCCTCAGCTCCACTTACCCACCCTCTCACCATAACCCTTAATTCCTTTACTGGTCAAAAAATGATCTGTTTTCATTTTAAAAACATTTAATGAGGGAGCCTCAACTGCTTCACTGGGAATTCCACAGATTCACAACCCTTTGGGTGAAGATATTCCTCCTCAATTCAGTCTTAAATCTGCTCCCCCTAATTTTGAGGTTATGGGTTCTTGTTTCACCCACCAGTGGGAACATCCTCCCTGCTTCTATCTTATCTAATCCCTTCATAATTTTATATGTTTCTATAAGATGCCCCACTCATTCTTCTAAATTCCAATGAATATAATCCCAGTCTACTCAGTCTCTCCTCATAAGCCAACCCTCTCAACTCCGGAATCAACCTAGTGAACCTCCTCTGCATCTCCTCCACTACCAGTACATCCTTTCTCAAGTAAGGAGACCAAAACTACACACAGTCTCCAGGTGTGGTCTCACCAGCACACTTTTCAGCTACCGCATATCCTCCCTATTTTTAAACTCAATCCCTCTAGCAATAAAGGATAATATTCCATTTGCTTTCTTAATTACCTGCTGCACCTGCAAACCAACCTTCTGCAATTAATGTGCAAGGACACCCAGGTCCCTCTGCACAGCAGCATGCTGCAAATTTTTACCGTTCAAATAATAGTCCTTTTTATTGTTATTCCTACCAAAATGGACGACTTCACATTTATCAATATTGTACTCCATCTGCCAGACCTTTGCCCACTCACTTAGACTATCTATATCCCTCTGCAAACTTTCAGAGTCCTCTGCACACTTTGCTCTACCACTCATCAAGAGTCATCTGCAAACTTTGAGACACTACACATGGTCCCCAACTCCAAATCATCTATGTAATTGATAGAAACCTATGTCTCTTTTCTAACTGATTAAAGATTCAACAGGAGACAGTCAGTGAGCTATTTTTAGGGTTGTTACCTTTCTGCTTATAAATTGTGTGTTGGTATTCCTCCTCTTCGACACTAAAGCTGAGGAAAGAACGGAGCTCCGAAAGCTTGTGTTTTCAAATAAACCTGTTGGATTATAACCTGGTGTCATGTGATTTTTGACCTTGCCAACACAGTCCAACACCAGTACCTCCACATCTATGTAAATTATAAACAATTGGGGTCCCAACACTGATCCCTGAGGCACACCACTAGCTACTGATCTCCAACCATAAAAACACTCATTTATCCCCACTCTCTGCTTCCTGTAGATAACCAATCCTCTATCCATGCTAATACATTGCCCGTAATGCTGTGCAGCTTTATCTTATGCAGCAGCCTTTTGTGCAGCACCTTGTCAAATGCCTTTTGGAAATCTAGATACACCACATCTACTGGGTACCCGTTGTCCACCGCATTTGGAATGTCTTCATAGGATTTCAGTAAGTTAGTTAAACATGACCTGCCTTTCATGAACCCTTGCTGCGTCTGCCCAAAGGGACAATTTCTATTTAGATGTCTTGCTATTTCTTCCTTGATGATAGATTCAAGCATTTTCCCCACTACAGAAGTTAAGCTAACCGACCTATAATTCCCCATCTTATGTCTACCTCCTTTTTTAACCAGTGGTGTCACATTTGCTGTTTTCCAATCTGCTGGAACTGCCCCAGAGTCCAGCGAATTTTGGAAAATTACCACAAGCGCATTTGTTATTTCTCCTACTATCTCTTTTCGTACCCTGAGATGCATTCCATCAGAGCCAGGAGACTTGTCTACCTTTAGCTCCATTAGCTTACCCAACACTACCTGTTTTGTGATAATGATCGTTTTTAGGTCCTCACCTACCTTAGTCTCCTCATCATCAATTACTGGCAAGTTATTCATGTTGCCACTGTGAAGACCAACACAAGATACCTGTTTAGTGCCTCGGCTATTTCCTCATTTCACATTCTTAAATCCGCTTTCTCATCCTCTAAAGGACTAATGTTTACCTGAGCCACTCTTTTTCATTTTATATATTTGTAGAATCTTGTGCTATTTGTCTTTATATTCTGAGCTAGTTTACTCTGCTAATTTATCTTACTTTTCTTTATAGCTTTTCTTTGTGTGTGACCTTTATAGTGTTCCCAATCTTCTAGTTTCCCACTGGAATTTGATAGTCTCTCTTATTTCCTCAGACATCCATGACTGATTAGTCCTTTTTCTACTGTCCTTCCTTTTCACTTTTGCTGAGTACTTTGAAAAATTGCTTTGAAAGTCCTCCACTGTTGCTTAACCGTCCCACCATAAAGTCTTTGCTTCCAGTCTACTTTAGCCAACTCCTCCCTAATCCTATTGTAGTCTCCTTTGTTTAAGCACGGGATCCTGGTATGAGATTTTATCTTCTCACTTTCCATCTATTTTCTAAATTCAACCATACTGTGATTGCTCCTTCCAAGAGGATCCCCAACCATGAGATCATTAATTATTCCTGTCTATTACACAGGACCAGATCTAGGATAGCTTCCTCCCTTGTCGGTTCCATTACATACTGTTCAAGAAAACTATCAATAAACTCCTCCTCAAGGCTTCCTTGACTGACTTGGTTCGACCAATCGACATGTAGATTAAAATCTCCCGTGATAATTGCTGTACCATTTTTACAGGCATTAGTTATTTCTTTGTTTATTGCCTGCCCCAAAGTGATGTTATTACCTGGTGGCCTATTAGACTAAGTCTGTCTGTGACTTTTTCTTCTTAGAATTTCTTATTTCCACCCAAACAGATTCAACCTTATTCTCCACAGAACTTATAATCATCTCTCACCACCGCCCTGATGTCATCCTTAACTATCAGAGTTACACCGCCCCCCTTACCTTCCTGACTGTGCTTCTGAATAGTCTGATATCCCTGGATATTTAATTCCCAGTCGTGACCATCCTGCAGCCATGTCTCTGTAATGGCTACTAAACCATACTCATTCATGATGGTTTGTGCTGTTAACTCATCTACCTTGTTTCGAATGCTACAAGCATTCAGGTGAAGTGTCTTTATGCTAATTTTTATACTTTCTTTTTGAATTCTAACATCTTCATTAATAACATATCCTGAGTTTTCCTTCCTTTTAACTTCTTTCAGAGCCTTGGATGTAGTTAAACCTTCCTGCACACATGTTAACCTGCTGCTCTCTTTTCTATTTACCATTATACTTCCTGTCATTTTCCCCTTCCCTTCCCCCCAGTGCACTAGTTTAAAGTCCTAGTGACCGCCCAATTTATCCTTTTTGCTACAGCACTAGTCCCAGATTGGTTCAGGTGGAGTAAAAGAGGGAAATATATGAAGGGTGACCATGTTGGTCAAACAGGTAGGTTACAAGAAAAGTCTTGAAGGTGGGAGACAGATAGAGGGGCTTATTGAAGAGTTGACCATAGCTTCGGATGTCACCATTTGAAGACAGTCACCTTCAGTAAGACAGGGGGACAGGGTCCAGAATCAGGTAGGGAGTTTGGTGGTATAAATTGCAGGGCTAGGAAAGTTACAGAAATAGGGGAGGAGGCACAACCTACAGAGGGAGGGGAGAGGAAGGGCACTACATGGGTGTTGATTTAGCTCAGTTGGCTGGACAGTTAGTTCGCAAAGCAGTGTGATTCTAACAGCATGGGTTCAATTCCCATCACCAGCTGGGGTTACCATAAAGGACTGTCCTTCTCAACATCTTCCCCTCACCTGAGGCATGGTGACACTCAGGTTAAATCACCCCTAGTCATCTCTCTCTCCAATGAGAGAGCAGCCCTGTGGTCTGGTAAGACTATGGTGACACAACAACCTACAGAGGTGGGGGAGAGGAAGGGGCAGTACTTACAGAGGCACATGAAAGACACTACTGTTTGTAGAACCAACTTACCTGCACACTGGAGTACTGCTCAGCTGAGAATTTCTCAGTACAGATTGGGGCAACAGGGATGAATCCCCTCACCATGTCACAGTGCCCAAACAGGAAGGGCAGTGAATACATCCCACTCAATGATGGGCTGATTATCACAACGGAGTTCAGCTCCAAACCCTTGAGCACACTCAGGAGGAAGCTGTCAGGAGCCAGATCCCCGACTTTGGCAGGAGCTGTCGCTTCTTTGGAGTTACCCAGGCCTAGGTAGAGGAGAAAGATCAGGAGTAACGTTAACCAGGGCACAGAGAGGGGCTTCATCTGGACCAGCATTGATCAGCCCCAGTCACACAGAACATCACTGATCTGATTTACATTGTCCTACAACCACCGGGGCTAAAACTCAAAACTCCAACTGGTGCAAACATGAGTAATGGACAACTTCTGAAAGAACTGGAAGGACCTCAATGGCTGTGCGACCTCAATTCACATGAGGAATAAAGATATCTGCTTGAGTGTGAGGGAGCTACAAACAAAGTAAGTTCCTAGAGCAGGTTACAGTCTGGGTTTTCTGCACCCTCAGACTCCCTCAAGCCTCTTTGTCCCAAAAAGACCCAGTACACTTGCCCACATGGGTGCAGTTGTATTTCCTGACAGTATGTGATCAGCATCTTACATTGAGTGGATGGGTGATGGGTTGACACATCCTCCTCACCCTAACGTTGCCCTTATCCTCCCATGAGGAGCTCGAACAGTTCATCCACTTCACCAACACCTTTCACCCCAACCTTAAGTTCACCTGGACCATCTCTAATACCTCTCTCTCCTTCCTGGACCTCTCTGTTTCCATCTCTGGCAACCACCTAGAAACCGATATCCATTTCAAGCCCACCGACTCCCACAGCTACCTAGAATACACCTCCTCCCACCCAACTTCCTGCAAAAATGCCATCCCCTATTCCCAATTCCTTCGCCTCCGCCGCATCTGCTCCCAGGATGAGGCATTCCACTTCCGTACATCTCAGATGTCCTCGTTTTTCAAGGACCGCAACTTCCCCCCCCTCAGTGGTCGAGAACGCCCTCGACCGTGTCTCCCGCATTTCCCGCAACTCATCCCTCACACCCCCTCCCCGCAATAACAACCAAAACAGAATCCCCCTCGTCCTCACGTACCACCCCACCAACCTCCGGATCCAATGCATCATCCTCTGACACTTCTGCCATCTGCAATCCGACCCCACCACCAAAGACATTTTTCCCTCCCCACCCTTATCTGCTTTCCGGAGGGACCACTCTCTCCGTGACTCCCTTGACTGCTCCACACTCCCCTCCAGCCCCACCACACCCGGCACTTTTCCCTGCAACCGCAGGAAGTGCTACACCTGCCCCAACACCTCCCCCCTCACCCCCATCCCAGGCCCCAAGAAGACTTTCCACATCAAGCAGATGTTCACCTGCACATCTGCTAATGTGATACACTGCATCCGCTGTTCCCGTTGTGGCCTCCTCTACATCGGGGAAACCAAGCACAGGCTTGGGGACCGCTTTGCAGAACACCTATGCTCGGTTTGCACTAAACAACTGCACCTCCCAGTCGCGAACCATTTCAACTCCCCCTCCCATTCCTCAGACGACATGTCCATCCTGGGCCTCCTGCAGTGCCACAACGATGCCACCCGAAGGTTGCAGGAACAGCAACTCATATTCCGCTTGGGAACCCTGCAGCCCAATGGTATCAATGTGGACTTCACAAACTTCAAAATCTCCCCTCCTCCTACCACATCCCAAACCCCTCGCCCCTCCCGTCCTCCCCGGACTGACCTATCTCCTCCCTACCTCCCCACCTACACTCACCTTTACTGGCTCCATCCCCACCTCTTTGACCTGTCTGTCTCCTCTCCGCCTATCTTCTCCTCTATCCATCTTCTATCTGCCTCCCCCTCTCTCCCTATTTATTTCAGAACCCCCTTCCCCTCCCCCATTTCTGAAGAAGGATCTAGGCCCGAAACGTCAGCCTTCCTGCTCCTCTGATGCTGCTTGGCCTGCTGTGTTCATCCAGCTGTACACCTTGTTATCTCTTATCTTCACTCTGATGGTTTGTTGCTGATGCTTCACCACAGGGGTGGGCCCTGAGCCTTTCACATTGTCTGTCTGCCCCGGTGCTGAACGCAAATCACAAATTCAACAGAAACTCCAATCCCAACCCAGTACATTTGACTTAGATGTGCAATGGATTCTGATGGTACTGCGTCTTTAAGACAGATTTGTTCTGTGTTGTTTCTCTTGCACAATTGTGCCAGAATGTCTGCTTCAGAAGCCGTGGATAAACTGCTTTGAGCTCCCCGAGTGTTTTCTTAATGGACAAAAGAAGCATGAGCGGGTGGAGTCAGGCTCAGTTGTGGTTTGTAGCTGGCTGTTGAAGCTGATAGATACAGCTCTCTCTTTCTCTGCTACAGCAAAAAAAGCTTTGAGTTCTCTCTCTATGACCAGATTGTTTCTTTTGGCATCCTTTTCTCCTGGACTGGAGGAGATAGCACATGAGGAAAACCTGTTTTGCTGAATTTACCTATGCCAAGGGTGTGTTTATGGGATGCTGCAGTTGATGGAACAGTTGATGGTTAGTAGTTAAACAATGTATTATTTTATTAAGTATTTCAATAAGGTTAAAGTTATGCCAATTTTTTTGTTTGTATTTTAATTATGTTTATGAATAAAGCATGTTTTGCCTAAAGCCAATTGAATCACTTCAAATATAGAGCCTTGCACTTGTCATTAAACAAAATAAAAAAGTTAGGGTCTAGGCTATGTCCTTTATAGATTTTGAGGAAGTTTGGTGTGATCCATAACAAGTGTACTGAACTAACCACGCACACATCCCAAACAACACGTGAAGAAATCTCAGAAAGATGTGCAACAATTAATGCAAACAGCACATGCTCCAGCCTGTCAGTGTCACAGCTCACTCACTGCGTGTACTGATCTTGGCTAATGCACTACTTAACCTGGTAAGTCGATAGCTACCGCCTGGTACCCAGCCCCTGCCAGCTCCTGGAGGGTTCCAAGCTTCAACCAAGTGTCAGAGGAGAAGCGAATGCCATGGAGCAGGAGGACAGATAATCTGGGGGTCTGCTCAGCTGGTGCAGTCTGACGGTAAAATAACTGCTGCCCTTCAACTTGCACAGTGCCCTCCTTAGTCACAACACTCGCCATGATACTGAGCTGGTGCTGTAACCTGTTCTATTGCCTCCTGCAACAAATAACAACAGTCATGGGTTAGATAGAGTGTAATAGCCTCTCTACACTGTCCCCATCAACACTCCCAGAACAGGCACAGCATGGGTTACATACAGAGTAATAGTCTCTCACACTATCCCCTATTAAACATTCCCCGAGTCAGGAACAGCACAGGGTTAGATGCAGAGTACAGCTTCCTCTACACCATCCCCCATCAAACACTGCCATGACAGGGACAACACAGGGTTAGGTACAGAGTAAAGCTCCCTCTACACTGTTCCCCCACCAAACACTGCCTGAACAGGGACAGCACAGGCTTAAATACAGGGTAAAGCTCCCTCTACACCGTCCCCCATAAAACACTGCCACCACAGGGTCAGCAAGGGGTTAGGTACAGAGTAAAGCTCCCTCTACACTATCCCCCCACCAAACACTGCCTGAACAGGGACAGCACAGGGTTAAATACAGAGTAAAGCTTCCTCTACACTCTCCCCCATCAAACACTGCCTGAATTGGGACAGCACAGGGTTAGATACAGAGTAAAGCTTCCTATACACCGTCCCCATCAAAAACACCCACACAAACTATACATCAACAGCGAAAAAGCAAAGTGTCCCGAATTCCCTGAACAACAGTTTAAAGTTAAAACTGAACAAGACAATTGTTAGAAAAGTTTTTAGCTTGTTGTAGTGAGAGGAGCTGGGTGAAAAGGGAGAGTTTGCACCAACCTATGGCTGGGACGCAGTGTGTGAAAGTGGACACTTCCCAGGTGCCTGTCTGCTTCTCTCCTGGAACAGCTCCGGGAAGTACGGAGAAGCTGGCACCAGCGCCCTCTGCAGCCAGGAGGCTCCATGTGCAGACACCAGGCACTCACCAACTCAGTCCAAACAAATAACTCATATCCGCCATGGAGTAAAGTTATTCTGATCCCCAGCACATGTGGAGGCCATTCTGTCCATTGTACCCATGCTACCTCTTTGGGTGTGTTGCCCAACTTAGGCCCACACAACAGCTTTATCCTCACAACAAACACAGAAGTTGCTGGAACTGAGGAATTGTCAGCAAGCATGGACATGTTGCTTCAGTGGGGAGGTGATGGTGTAGTGGTATTGTCACTAGACTCCTGATATAGAATCCCTACAGTGTGGAAACAGGCCATTCAGCCCAACAAGTCCACAACACCCCTCTGAAGAGCATCCCACCCAGACCCGTTCCCCTATCCCTGCATTTCCCCTGTCTAACCCACACATCCCTGGGCACTATGGGACAATTTAGCAAGGCCAATCCACCTACCCTGTACATCTTTGGACTGTAGGAAGAAACCAGAGCACCCAGAGGAAACTCACGCAGAAACAGGGAGAACGTGCAAACTCCACACAGACGGTCACCCGAGGCTGGAGTCGAACCCAGGTCCCTGGTGCTGTGAGGCAGCAGTGCTAACCACTGAGCTGCAAGGACTCAGGGAATAGTTTGGGAACACAGGTTCAAATCCTGCCATGGCAGAATGCAATAAAAATCTGGAATTAACAGTCTAATGAAACCCATCTAGTTCACGAGTATCCTTTACAGAAGGAAATTATTGTCCTGACCTATGTGTGACTCCAGACCCACAGTTAATATGTATTACGCTTAACTGCCCTCTGGGCAATTAGGGATGAGCCTGGCCTAGCTAGTGACTAAATGTGCCCATGCCCCATGAATGAATATTCTAAAAAAGACAACTTGTGGGCAGTGCATGGGAAAATCTGATATAAGCGCATCTTGAAACAAGATGTAAAGAATTTAGTTTTTTCCCAACTTCTTGTTAAGGGTTCTCAATTTCTCTGTGTGCGTCTGCAGGAGAGAAAATGTTGACTTGCACTGTTCTCCACAGGGAGTTTCCGACAATGATCTGGGGAAAATGGTGGCTTTGCAAACATGCACACTTGCATGTGTGTGAGTGTGTAACTTTTCAGCAGGCCAAAACTTTACATGTATCATGAATCAATGGGCAAACTATTCCTTACTCCAAGTCACTTAGCAGTTCTTCAGTTCAAAGAGAACTCCTTTGCAGATGGGCTCCCAGACACTCAAATCATTATGTTTGAGTTTTGAAAGCCAATCTTCACCACTGTGCACACTTTCTGTTCCCCTAGCTACGCTTCCTAGGTGCTGATCCAATACATGAATACGAGTCTCAGAGCTCCTTTTAAGTTTTTTCCTGAACAGGCCTTGGAGGTGCCAACTCTGGAAGTGGGTGTGTTCCCAGAGGATTGAGCTCCCATCTCACGCTGCCAACTCTAAATAGTTTTGCAACTAATAAACCCAACCTAGGGGTTGGGGGTTGGGCACCCCTTTTATTTAATGCCACCTCGCCCCCGACCATGATCTTTCTCCTGGGTTTACTGGTTGCAGAGTCCTGACGATGATTCATTTTCAAAAGGATTTAGATTTTTATTGTCATGTGTACTCGAGTACAGTGAAAATTGCACAAAGTTGCCATTCTCCAGTGCCATCTTAGCGGACAAAAGACAGGATTAAAAACAGAAGCAGAAATAAAAGAAACAGCCAAAAGAAAAGGAAACCTCCAGATCACTCCTCTGCCTCCATAACTGGACTGGAGGCAACTCAGAGAAGGTTCAATTAATTCCAGAAATGAAAGGCTCGTCTCATGAGGAGAGATTGAACAGTTTAGGCTTCTACTCATTAGCGTTTTGAAGGATGAGAAATCTGATTGAGTTATATAAGATGCAAAACGACATTGGCAAAGCAGATGTAGAGAGAGGACGTTTCCTCATGTGGGGCAATCTAGAACAAGAGGTCATTGTGTTAGGTTAAGGGTAACAGATTTAAAACAGAGAGGAGGACAAATTACTCCTCTCAAAGGGTTGTGAATCTGTGGAATTCACTACCCTAGAGTGCAGTGGATACCAGGACATTTGAGTAAATTTAGGGAGATAGGTAGATTTTTGTGAATGGGGAGAGGCAGTGGGGGAAGAGGTTAAAATTGATAGAATTAACATTGCATTTTCCACCAGGGTCTTCAGAGTGATTATGGCATGCTGCACTCTCTAACGTTGCACAGCAGCAAGGTTTGAAACTACAGGAGGTTTAAAAAAAAGCACAGATCACAGAGCTTCGGCGGGAGATAGAGGGATGGCGGAAGGGAATATAGTCTCAGAAATCTGCAGTACAGATAAAGCTCATTGTGTCAACAATGCTCAAAAACAACCACGTAACTATTCTGATCCCTTCCTCCATCAGTCTATAGGTGTTGAGGCTGGTAAAGCACAGCAGGTCAGACAGCATCCGAGGAGCAGGTGAGTCAATGTTTCAGGCCAAAACCCTTTGTCAGGACTGGGGAGGGGGAGGGGAACCCAGAAATTAAATAGAGGGAGGGGTGTGGGGCTGGGGTAAGGGTAGGAGAAATGGTGATGGCTGGATGCAGTTGGGGGTGATTGGTCCATGGGAAGGGTGGAGTGGATAGGTGAGTAGGATGATGGACAGGTTAGGTCAGGTCAGGAGGGGGAGGGCTGGACATAGGATAAGGCTGGGGGTTGGGGGATTTTGAAGCTGGTGAAGTCAATGTTAAGACCATTAGGCTGTAAGCTTTCAAGGCTTCAGAACGTGGTTGAAGGGCTTCAGGGCAGAGGAGACAATCGGGGGTTTGCAGTGGGAGAGAGACTCACTGAGCTCTTTTCAGAGAGAGGAAGGAAACTTCTTCAAGGTGGGCATCCTTGGAAGAGACTTTGCAGTGTTGGTTTTCAATGACTTGGAGACAATAAGGATGGCAGATACTGGAGGCCAGTCAATAGATGTGAGGCTGGATAAATACAGCAGGTCAGACAGCATCCGAGGAGCAGGTAAGTCAACATTTTGGGCCAGTTTCCTCACATCTCCTCTAAACCTTCTGCCCCTTACCTTCAATCTGTGCCCCTGGTCATTGAACCCTCCATTAAGAGGAAAGTTCCTTCCCATCTACCCTGTCTATGCCCATCATAATTTTATACATCTTAATCACACTCCTCTCAATCACCTCTGCTCTTAGAAAAAAACCCAATCTGTCCAACCTCTCTTCATAATTATAACTGTCCAGTCCACAGCAAAATCCTGGTAAATCTTCTCTGTACCCTCTCCAGCGCTTTCATATCCCTTAAATGTACATCCCAGAACTGCACACAATATTCTTGTTATGGCCTAAACAACACTTATACAGTTCCAGCATATCCTCCCTACTCTTAAACTCTATGCCTCGATTAATAAAGGCAAATACCCCATATGTCTTCTTAATCAGTTTATCCACCTTTCATGATAGCTTAACAAATCCCTCTAATCCTTGGTGCTTCCAGAGTCCTACTGTTCATCATGTATTCCCTTGTCTTGTCTGACCTTTCCAAATGCTTTGCCTCACATTTATCTGGATTGAATTCCATTTGCCAATGATCAGCCAATCTACCCAGTCTGTCTATATTCTCTTGTCGTCCAAGGCTATGCCCAGTCCATACCTCCACATGGGGGATGAGTTGTAGAGCAGTGTGCTGTGGATCAACAATAGGCCAAGGTCATTCATCTGGGTTAAATTGAATTCAGAGCATGCAAAACAGTCACGAAGGCCTGCTCATTCTTGTCTGATTGCTTCATGCACTCAGCCAGACTGGGGAAAGAGAAAGCATTGGAATGGCTACAACCGGAAGTTATTCGTGCTGGAGGTAATACCACAAACAACAGATCAGGTCTAAGGTCTGCGGCTGCGAACAGTGGCGATATATGAAACATCTAACAGGAAACCCAGTACATCAGTGCAAGAGATCGGCTAAAACATTTACAAGTATCTTCAGCCAGAAATGTCAAGCAAATGATCATGCTCAGCCTCCTCCAGAGGTCCCCAGCATGACAGGTCTTCAGCCAATTTGATCCACTCCAAGTGATATCGAAAAATTATTGAAAACACCGGGCATTGCACAAGGCTATGGGTCCTGACAACATCCCGGCAATGGTATTGAAGTCTTCTGCTCCAGAACTAACCACACCTCTCACCAAGCTGTTCCAATTAGAGGAGGTGTTAGGGGAGCGGTGGAAGGATATTTTCGAGAATGGAGAGTTGTGACTAGTGGTGTTCCACAGGGCTCAGTGCTGGGACCTCTGCCATTTGTGCTCTACACAAACGATTTGGTGGAAAATGTAGCTGGTCTAACTAGTAAGTTTGCGGATGATACAAAGGTTGGTGGAGTTGTGAATAGTGAGGAGGATTGCCTGAGGATACAGCAGGATATAGATCAGTTGGAGGCATGGGCAGATGGAACATAATCTGGACAAATGTGAGGTTATGCATTTTGGAAGGTCAAGTACAGGTGGGAATTATACAGTGAATGGCAGAACCCTTGGGAGTATTGGTACACAGAGGGATCTGGGTGTGCAGGTCCACATGTCACCGAAGGCGGCAGTGCAAGTAGATAAGGTAGTAAAAAAGGCTTATGATATGCTTGCCCTTACTGCAAGGAGCATGGAGTATGAGGATTGACAAGTTATGCTGGAGCTTTGTAGAACTTCAGTTAGGCCACACTTGGAATATTGTGTACAGTTCTGGTCACTACACTACCAGAAGGATGTGGATGCTTTGGACAGGATATAGAAAAGGTTTACCAGATGTTGCCTGGTGTGGGGGAATTGTAGCGATGAAGAAAGGTTGGATAGACTGGGTATGTTTTCACTGGACCTCAGGAGGTTGAGGGAGGGGTAACCTAATAGAAGTTTATAAGATTGTGAATGGTATGGATAGAGTGGAAAGTATGAGGTTTTCTCCCACGGGTGGAGGGGTCAATTACTAGGGCACACAGGTTCAAGGTGTGAGAGGGGCATTTAAAAGAGATGTGTGAGACAGGTTTTTCACACAAAGGGTGGTGAGTGCCTGGAACACGCTGCAGGCTTACAGAGCTGAAGGGCCTGTACTTTGTTACAACACTGGCATCAATCCAAGAATGTGAAAAATTGCCCAGGTATATCCTTCGCACAAAATGCAGGACAAATCTAAACCAGCCATTTTTTATTTATTATCCACCAATTCACTATCAATCATCAGGAAAAAAAAAAGTTAGCATTTTTGATGCCATGAAGCAGCACTTGCTCAGCAATAACTTACTCACTGACCCTCAGTTTGGGTTCTGCCAGGGCAATTCAACTCTTGACCTCACTCCTAATCTAAAATATTTCACCTAGTTTTACAACTCTTATTGCAATTGTGCTGGCAGGAGGTTGGTGGTGGTGTGTGGCAGGGCAATGTTACTGTGGTTCAGAGCTCCAGACTTTATTAGCGAAAAATCATAATGTAAGTCCCACAAAACGGTTGCTTGCAAAAGACCAGCTACTGGGGTCTTCTGAAAAATAAATGGATTGGACTTTCAGTATTTACCCATACCATGACTTACATAAAATGAATCACTATCTTTCTATCATTTCTTTTGCCAGCTACTAGAAACTTGCAATACTTATTATTGTAGATCCTTTACTTTGAGTTTTTGGTTTTCCAGGACTGAAGTGCTGTATTAAGCATCCTGTGGATTAGTACAAAAAATCATAGCTGTTTAGTCCATGGTGCGGCCTGTTGGCTTCTTTATGTTGGAGGCAATTTCCTCAGCCTCAGGAGCCAGTAATTATGTAGGAAATACCCTCAACAGCTCAGTAATTGTTTGGAGCTATAATGGCAAGTTGAAACAAAATGCTCTTTTTGAACTTCAAAGGTATAAGTTCTGATACTTATGAGGAGGGTACAGTGAAAAAACTAGTGAGGCAGCAGGGCACAGAGAAAGAGATCCCATTGTCAATTTTAAGTTCCATTTACCGTCCAAAAGGCCAGGGCGATTGGCACATGAGCACGTACATCAGGGCAGCTTATAGCCAAGGATCCTTCATATATGCTTTTGCAATTGGGAGATAAGAGGGGCCCATAAGTGGGCAGGGGTGGTCATGTCAGAGTTCAAGTGGCAAAAGCTTCCTCAAGAGGTTAATGTTGGATAATGAGATGAAGAGACGAATCGAGCCTCTAGAAAATGCTACAATAGTAACTTATCTTCAGGAGTGGGCACACCCCATCTTCCTTTTCGTTAGTTTCCTCAACCCCTGCAAAATCCACACAGCAGTGAATTTTAGATGGACAGCGGAACCCATAACTCTCAATCTCTCCATGCCTCAACTTCTCCTACCGCTTGGAAGGTTGATATATCAAGGTCATAATTTCAGGGGAAAAAAAAAGTTATAGATAAGAAGTCTTTTTCTTCAAGTTAAAAACGTTCTTTCTTTGAGGCCCTGACTGGTACTAGATCCAGAAACTGCTCTTGGGTAGGTTGTGTATTAACTCAAGTAAAGACCCAAAAGTTACACTGTTTTCAACAGTAAGCTTTATTTTGTTTAAAGAAAATACTTGAATATTATAAGTACATGGATTAAAAACAGTGGAAGTACAAACATTTTCCTTCAAGAAGCTAAACTAATTTGTAGAGTAGGTATATACTACCATAGGAATTGATCAGCATAGGAGTTTTACCTGGAATGTAGGAAGATGGTCATGGCTGTTGGACATCAGTCTCTTAGCTCCTGGATCTCTCTGCAGGGATTCTCAGGATAGTGTCTTGAACTCAACCATTTTAAGCTGTTTCATCAATGACCTTCTCTCCATCATAAGATCAGAAGATGTGGACGTTCAACACTAATTGCACAATGTTCAGCACCATTCATGACCCCTCAGATACAGAAGTAGTCCATGTCCAAATGCAGAAAGACCTGGACAATATCCAGGAATGGGTTGATAAATGCAAGTAAAGTCATTCCACATAAGTGCCATCTTCCACAAGGTAGAATCAAATGATCACCCGTTAAATTCAATAACATTATCACTGAATCCTCCACTATCAACATCCTGGGGATTACCATTGTCTAGAAACTGGACTGGCCATATAAATATAGTGTAGGGACAAGAACAACTCAGCGGCTACGACCCCTGCAGCAAGTAACTCACCTAGTTCTCCAAAGCCTGTCTACAAGGCACAAGTCAGGAGCATGATGGATTACTCCTCACTTGCCTGGATGTGTGCAGCTCCACCAACACTTGAGAAGCTGAATACCATCTAGGACAACAGTCCAATTCATTGGATAGAGCCACATTCACTCTCTCCACCACTGATGCTCAGTAGCAGCAGTAGGTACCATCTATAAGATACACTTCTGAAATTCACCAAGACTCTTAAGACAGCACTTTTGAGACCCACAACCACTACCAATTAGAAGGACAAGATACGTGTAACTTTTGGGTCTTTTGGGTCTTTACTTGAGTTAATACACAACTTGCCTGCATTTGCAAGTTCCACTCTCAGCCACTTATTGCCCTGACTTAGAAATATATCATCATTCCTTTAGTCTCTTTAGATCAAAATCCTGGAACAGCATTGTGGATGTACTTATCCCAAATGGACTGCAGCAGTTCAAAGAGGCAGCTCCCCACCACCTTTGAGTGTAACTAGGAGTGGGCAAAAAAAAAAAAAATGCTGGCTCAACCAATCAAACCCATTGAATGAATAAAGAAAAGACACTTGCATCTTGCAGATCATCTATTTTATAGCTTAATACTGAATGTACTGATTTGGCCATTGATATGTGGAACTGATTGAAGCAGCCAGCAGTGTGATTCACATGCCACATACAATTGCAACATCTGCATTTAGCAATGGACCATGAGCACCATGGCACTCAAACCCATTCAATATGCACAACAAAGCACATTTAGCTTCATAATCAAATCTCCTCACCTGCTCTGTTGTTGCAATCTCTTGTTCCAGCTCTTCCACAGCCACCGGTGAAAAGGGGAATTCTGTCCTCCACTGGCCCTTGCTAATATTTTACTTTTCTATGTTTTTGCTTGTGGAATGAAATTGGAGGACTGTTTTAAAAATCAAGAATCATGAAACAGATTGCTGCATTTTCTCAAATCAAGTTACCAATACTTATTGCAAGTGCCATTTACATTGTTGCTTGTTCAAGCAGTATGGGGAAAGCTAATACAGACAGCCTGGCACCAGGAGGTGTACACAAAATATGATACAGCAGCAACAGATCCATGTAGTAGACCATGGAGGGGATGGTTATACTAGGATGCCAGTCTTATTTTTGGATGACAAAGGCCTTCTGCCTGTTAACAACTATGTGATTGGCTTCCAGATAGCTGCATAGCTTGTGTATTTGCAGGTCTTGGCCAGAGCAAAGGGGAGTTGGTGTATCTTTCTCTTGCCATGAGCAGACAAAAATACCTAAAATCTGAAGAAGGTCAGTTTATCTTCCTTCACCACTCACTGTAAACTGCAGCTTTTAGCCAGTAAAAAGAGATTATGCAATTTGTGAACTAGCTCTTTGGTGCATCCTGCAAGAAATCAATCAGCAGGCCCTGACAAGTACAAGGATCATGTCAGTGAACTGCTTTCACAGTTTTTCCCTCCATTCATAAGTGTTTCTTGTTTGTCTGCACATACATGCAAAGGAAGCTTTATAAAGCTGGTTAGAGTTTCAACTAGTGGAGTTACATTGATAGTTCATAGTTGTTTATCTGCAGATAGAATCTATTTTTCCTGTAGTAAATACTAATTTTTGTTAAAATCCAGAAACCTGGCCTGTACTTTCTATTAATCTAGTCTAAACAACAGGTAAACCGGAGACAACAACAAAAACAAAGTTGCTGGAGAAGCTTAGGTAAACTGGAGAATTTGGCAAATTCTGATAAAATCATTTACTTTCCAAATGACTCTGGGAATAGCAGAATTTGATTTTCAACAGGTTACCGGAATGAAATATGACAATGCTCAAAAAGGTCATTTCTGCACCACTGGCTGTTACATCCCAATATACTTTTATTCACCCCCTTTCCTTCCCAGCTCCTGGAAATGTTCAATAAAAATGGAGTTGGTTAAAATGCTCTGTCTGAATGTGGAGGCCTGACCAGAACATTTCTTGGAAAATTCACAAACCTCCACCTCCACGTCATTAAACAATAACCTGATCCACAATATGTACCCACATTGAACTTTGCACCACTTATATAGCTTCCACTGATTACTTATTGCATCCATTCAAAACACCTTAATCCATCTCTCCAATCAGACAGGTCAGTGACTGGCTTTTCAAAGACTTGCGATATCATTTTAATATTCAATTATTGATTTCAATTGCTGACTAAGTTACTTACAGTATCAGTTATCTCAAAACAGCAGTAAGGGCACATGGGACCAGGTGTTAACAATCACATTGTAATGGTTTGTTAATGTCATGTTAATGGCAAGTGGGTGTTAATTGTCTTTCAGTACATATCAACAGGGGACATCATTGGTGATGTGGTATGGAGGGTGTTACACACTGCAATCACATGCAAAAACAGGTTAAAGGTGATAAGGGACTCTCGGGCACCGTTCCCTCTAAGCCACGCAGCCACAGGTTCCACAAGGCACAGATGGAGCTTGGAAGTCCGCGCAGCAGAGGAAACAATTAGAGGGAATGTTGTTCCCAAACCTCCCGTCATTTCTGTAGCCCTGAGGACCCCATGCTCCATATGTACATTTTTTGGAAGGGGCTCCCTTCAGGATTTATTTGCATTTCAATCCCAAACTCCTGAACAGAGCTATCAGCATGGAGGCCAATAAGCAGAGCAAGGCACAGGATCACTTCATGGTTCTGTTCCTGGGCCTGGCCAAGGTGACCATTAGATGGGCCCATGCAGGAAGACCACGGAGGGGATTGTTATCCCAGAATGTCTGCTCTCGTTTGTGCTTACAATTGTCTCTTTAGAGGAGGGAGCACTGATTCCGTAACAATAAACTAGGTCTTAGCTTCCACCTAAGCATATCTTCATTTGGAGTTCACAGGAGCATACAGCCTGTTCTAAACCAGCAGGCGAGTTTACACAGGAATTTAGCTTTTAATTCCTCATGATCAATCCTCAAAAGTAATGTTCCGATACTAGATCGCCATTGCTTAAATATTGTCCATGAAAACTGTTTGTAAAATGTTTCCTTGTGGTCTGACCACTCCCAAAAATTTAATAAAAGGAAGATTTCTATTCAAAACATTACTCACCATTCATACCTTTGTCGTAACCAGTCTTGGTCCTTTGCAGCACAATCCTTTCCTGAAACTTCTGCCACATGTTCTCTCTCTTCCTAATCCACAAGTCAATTTCAAATGTGAACCTAGTTTTTACAAATACAAGCAGCAGATGGGATGCAAGTTTCTGCCAGTTGTTAGGGGTTACATAAGTTGGACAGTCAACTCCCATTGATAAAACCAGAGTACAAAATTGATACTAACTTGGCAGGGTGTAAAAGACGGTGTTTACATTCAGTTGTACATCAAATAATGAGATTGCATATATCTACCTAACTGCACGTTCAGTTATACACAGCTCAGTCGGAATGTCCAGTAGAAATTTCTTTAATGAGTAAAAGATTTCAAACCTCAGCTACATTAAATCACCACTGTTTATGGGAAAGGGAAACACTCAAGATCATCTACATCAGGTAGTAAACAATGCTCCCTCTAAAAGGTGTACAACAACCGGGAAGGTCTGAACTTTTCAACTAGTGTGGAGATACATGGTTTCTACTTCCACAAGCTGCTGCTACCACACATGGATCTCAGTTTTATATAGCAATAATAAAATTTACAGGGAACATTGTTAGTCAGCCTAGTCCAGATAGGTCCTGAGCTAGGGGCAGTTTTTTTTTTTTTTTAAAAACTCATTTCAAAGTTAAACTTTGCTGTCCAAGCTTTTGAACCCCTGCAACTGGCAGAAATTTCCATCCAATCCAAAGCCCTTTAACCTTCCAAAGGAGCAAGTTCACATCTCAATTTCACTGTTCGAACAAGACCACTGACGTTCACACATCTTAATGCCGCTCTACTGCTAAATTTTACGAAAGGCAATGCGTTTGGCTAAATTCTCAGAGCCAAATTTCTGGATTAACCTCTCCTGCACTTGTCCATCAACATTCTCCAGGTCAATGTCATCTTGATGGGTCCAGATAGGATAACCATCTGGCCGGTGACCGGTCTCCATATAGTGCATGGCTGCAGTCAGCTCTCCATTGTTCTTCATTAACAACTGTGTGGCTGCACAGAGGTCAAGCTGATGGGTTTGCATCAATGTGTTGATAGCTCGAATGGCACATTCCACCTCATCCTGAGACGCTGTAGGCAAGGAAAGCAACTCATCAACTGGTGTCTGAGAGTCTACTTCCGGCCGCTTATTGTCCATGATGAACTCTGCCAAAGTTCCTTTCCGTCTAGGACGGTGCTCAGCAGGGCTGACTTGTGGGGGGTTGTCATTCTCAATCTCCTGCTTTTGAGAGACTTTCTCCATCTCCATTTCACTACCCGCTTCTACCATCAGTTCAGGAGTGTCATCATCAACCTAGAACGAGGATCAAAACCATTTCAAATCAGTGGTTTGGAGTTAGCAAATGGATATATGGTTTAAACAGCTTGTTTGTGGAACATACCAGAACCTTCAGCTCTGGTCCATTCCATTTCAAGATCCTCCTGAATGGGCAATTTGTTTCCTCAGTTCCTTATCATCTATTAAGCCCAGGAATATGATGCAATACTAAATTATTCAGTTAATGGGTACAGTTGTAATGTTACTTGAAGCCTTATAGTACTTGTGAAGGAGCAGTGCACAATGGCTGTACTATTTGCTATCTCACACTTGAGTCAAGCTTATAGCATCTGCCACCCAATTACAAGACTCTCAATATAATGAGATTATCACCACCTTTGAATGCTCTAAAAATAGACACCAACCCCATATAAACACACGCTAGTTTCTTTTTATGGTCGATGAGTTAAAATTTTATAATTCACTACCCAATAATATTGTGGGAGTACAAGTTACACAGTTGCTCAAAATGACTCCACACTTTCTTCTCAAGGCAACTAAACCCAGCAAATACATTGGCAGGCCTGAGCGTCTTCAATTGGGTCAAGTTTAAATAACTTACGATGCCTTTTCATTGCAGCATCAATTATAGATTTTAAGTTATAATGATTACACCTTAGATAACAGTCAGCAAGGTTCAGGTGGTCACCTTAAAAATCAAAAGTTGAGGGTCCAGCTACTCAAAGTTCATCCAGTTCCTGTAGTGGTCATAAAAATGTCCGTAATCAAATGAGTACATGGCATGGTCAATAATATTCTCTGATTTAACATCAGCAAAAATAGATTAGCTGGTTACTCAACTCACTATTATACATAGTAAGATTCCACGAATAATATGACAAGTTCATTGGGGATGCAAGTGGATACAGATTAAAAGAGGCCTTAATTATTTTTGTGACAAGGGACCTAGGAGCAGAGGTAGGCCATTCAGCCCAGTGAGCCCATTCCAGCACAAGTGAATACTTCAAAGACATTCAAATTCTTTTACACATTTTCCCTTAACCCTTGATAAGGAAAAGCTTGTACCTCTATTTGAAACATACTCAAAGACTGAGCTTCCACAGCCCTATGGGCTACAGAATTCCAAAGATTCATCACCATCCAAGTAAAAAAAAAAAGTCAAAAAATTCTTCTCACCTTGGTCCTAAATGACATCCCCTTATTCGTAAATCATGTCCCCTGGTTCTAGACTTCCCAACCAAGGGAAACAACTCACTTCACGTACAATATCTATCCCTTTAGATATTTTGCAGGTTTCAATTAGATCATTTCTCATTTTTTGAAACTCTAGAGAATACAGGCCCAGTTTGCCTAATCCCTCTTCAGAGGTCAATTCCACCATCCTGGGAACAAGACATTCATTGCACTCCTTCGGAATCATATAATTATGGCATTTCTTAATGATTTGCATCAAAAAAGTGAGCAGAAACACTCCTTTTCCCTTTTATTTTCTATTGCTGTCAAAGCTGTGGACTAATGCACTTGTATCAAACCACCAAAGTGACCTCAGCATTCAATGCAGTCAGTGAACATATGAATGATAGCTATTCTAATAGCAGCACATGTCCTTGCCGAATTACGGACACAAAAAGTGCAAAAAAAAAAAAAAAAAAAATCATGGCAGATCTTTAGGAGCTTATTTCCAATGTGACCCTATTTTAATCTAACATTGCTCTCTTGAGCAATTAGGGGCAAGAGGGAGACCTGATAAAAGTTTATAAAATTATGAGAGGCACAGACAGAGTTGACAGTCAATCATTTCCCAGTGTTGAAATGTCTAATACTAGAGGGCATGCATTTAAGGTAGAGGGGAAAATTCAAAGGAGATGGGATGGGCAAGCTTTTACACAGAGAGTGGAAGGTACCTGGAATGTGCTGCCAGGGGTAATGGTGGAGGCAGATGTGATAGGGGCATTTAAGGGTATTTTAGATAAGCACATGAATAGATAAGGAATGGAGCGATATGGACCATGGGCAGGCAGAAGGGATTAATTTAATTTGGCGTCATGTTCAGCACATCGTGGGCCAACAGGCCCGTTCCTGTGCTGTGCTATGCTATTCTATGTTCTACTAAAAGCTGGTCTTGCCAGTAGTACCCATGAACAAATCAAAAAAGAAAATTCTTATAAATGACTATGACCCAGCCACAACAAAACAGCAATAAAGTATCACAGTAATAGCACACAATTTTTAAAATTTATGCATTACAGATAAATAATAACAATCATACAAATGAAAATCTGTTTTGAAAGTGATTTATGAAAATATTATTTTAAGTACTCTTGCAAGCTGTTCATATTCCATGATGACAGAAGCCATACTCCATCTCATGGCCCTCCACCTTCAATAAAACGGAAATAATGTCTGAAGCTGAGCAGTAGTTTTATTGGCATTGAGGTCCTGCTTAATAGTACTGTCTGATGCACTTTTCAGTTTCTTGAGAGTAGACTGATAGATCAGTAATTGACCAAGTTGGATTCTATTATGCTTTAGGAACAAGAAATACATGGGCTATTTTCCTTACTTACCAAGTTGCTGAATAGCAAGTCTGTGGAGGGTGACAGGGAAGCTCCACTGTAGATGCGTAGTTTTTCCCCAACTATCTACTCATACTTGATACCAAACCTGTTGGAGGAGAAGCATTGCAATAATCAAGGAGATTATCATCTGCTTGCTCTTCTTGACTCAGTAAGTTAGTGCTGTCTTGGGAATGAGAAGAGAGATATGGCAAGACTGCTATTATTGTCAGGAATTTCAAGCAGATTGTAAAAACAGATAAAACCTAACTTGGAAAAAGAGTCCAGAATCACCATAAACAAAACGCTGGAGCAACTCAGCAGGTCTGGCAGCATCTGAGAGGGAAAAACTGTTAATGTTTCAAGTTCAAACCAAAAGGGTCACCGAACTCAAAACATGAACTGTTTTTCTCTATCCAGATGCTGCCAGACCCGTTGAGTTTCTCCAGCACTTTGTTTTTGTTTCAGATTTCCAGCATCTGCTGTCTTTATAAAAACAGAATTATCAAACTGCCTACCTCAAATTCACGGATTGCAACATGAAATATGTTGAAGCATTCCTCATCTCGATTTGCATCAGATTGTCGTTCAACTGAGGTGGTTGCTTTTTCATTAGACTTCAACTCAGCCTGCTGGAGATTGTCAAGATTCCTTTTACCTGTTGGGTATGAAAGGCTTCCTGTCATTTTGAAAAGCAGCAATTGAATAAACCAGTTCAGATTGGCAATCAGAAAATTCACCCTATGTTTTATAAAATGACTTCCATTTCCTGCTTCCAGTTTTCAGACTAGAAGAGAAATGACTCTCACAGGAGGTGACTCGTCTGCACAATACTCAATTAATTCTTTTCCTTCCCCCATCCTGTCACTCAGACGGCTGTGGCAGATTCAAGTACCAAATGGGTTGAAGGGTTATGGACAGTAAACAGGAAAGTGCAGCTAAGGCCAAGATGAGATTAACCATGATCATATGAAATGGTGGAGTAGCCTCAAGGGACTGAATTGTCTACTCCTGCTCTTACTTATGTTCTAATGAATAATGGAGGAACTATTTAGCAGAGGCTCTGATCTGAAAACATGAAAGAGCAGTAAGGGGTGCATCAACACTAATCATGTCGCTGAGACAAACACAGAAAATGCTGGAGAAATTGAGCAGATCTGTGATGAAAGAAACAGTTAGCATTTCAAGTCTGATATACCTTAGACTCGGTCTCTACCGTGCAGAAAGCGGCTATTCGGCCCCTTGAGCCTACACTAATCCTTCAAAAGAGCATCCCACCCAGCCCCAGTCTCCCGCCTTATTCCAATAACTCTGCACTTACCATGGCTAACCCACCTAGCCTGCACGTTCCTGGAGTCTACAGGTCAATTTAGCATGACCAATCCACCTAACTTGCACATCTATAGTATTCTCCACAACTAAGTTATCAATGAGTAATGAGACCGAGGGAGCGCTGGACATCAAAAAAAATCAGTTATGGTGACCATGCAGGTAGAAAACCCAGTCCCTGAGGGTTGAATTGCCTAACCCCAATGCAGCTCTCAATTGGGGTAGGGGTGGTCAAAAAAGGACGTACGTACGCATGCGGACAGTGGCTGACGGACCCGCACATGCGCACACGAGTTGACGGTTTTGCGCAAGCGCAGTTGGGCACTTGCAGTCTAACGGCCGCTGGAGAGGCCTCACCTTCTCCCTTGGCAGCCTGGAGAGCTGTCCGAGCGCTGGTCGCCGGCCGCTTCCCCTTGGCGCTGTCGAGCTGTTCCCGGCCGCAGAGCCAGTCCAGGTAGCGGCTCTTCATGGACTGCCAGGAATGGGAGGTCACATTACTTCTCTCCATCTCTATCCAGAGGGCATTTCCGGTGACGGACTTGTCGCCATGAGAGCGCACGTACAACAAGATGGCGGCGTCTTCCTCCTCGCTGTACGTCAACCTGCCGCGGCCTAGCGCTGTCACCGCCTCTGGGGAGGCCTGCTCCGCTGCGTACTCTTCCAGCGCCAGCTGCTTGTCCTGCTCCACGCTGTCCAGCACGTAGCGGGCGCTGATGTAGCCTTTCGACATTGGCCCCTCAGCCCCCGACTCGGTCAACAGGATGGCGCCCGGCTCCTGAACGCGGCACACCACCCCGCCGCCGTGGATGATCATCGGCGCCAGCAAGGCCTTGGTGGGCCCCGGCGGCATGTAGAACCGCAACGGGACGCCACAGTCGTCGAGGAAGAGAGTCCGAGAGTGCGACAGGGTCGCGACGGCACGGTCCCCACTGCTGGCCATCAGGAACGGGCTTTGACACTGGGAACGGGATCGCCGTCTTATTGGACAAGCGCCCTACAGCAACCGGAAAGGCGGTTACTGATTGGACTGTGTAAGGAAGCCGCCTTTTCATTGGACAAGGGGCGACGTTCCTATCCGCGTTTACCACTAGGTGGCGGGAGCAGCCCGTTCGCCCTGTCAGATTGCTTTCCCCTCAACACATTTCGTGGCTGTTTCCAATCCACGTTGTCGCTTATCCCATATACTGTTTTAATTCATAGAATCCGTACAGTGTGGAAACTGGCCATTTGGCCCAACAAGTCTACACTGCCACACCACCCTCTGAAGAGTATCCCACCCTGATTCATTCCCCTATTTCCGCATTTCCCCATGTCTAACCCACCTAACCTAAACATCCCTGGACACTCATTTAGCATGGCCAATCCACCTAGCCCGAACATCTTTGGACTGCGGGAGGAAACTGGAGCACCCGGAGGAAACCCACACAGATGCAGGGAGAATGTGCAAACTCCACACAGACAGTTGACTGAGGGTGGAATTGAACCCAGGTCCCTGCAGCCGTGAGGCGGCAGTGCTAACCACATTGCCGCCCATCTATCCACAGTGCAGAAATCAAGAATATATCTCAAGAGGTAGTAAAAACTGCCGATGCTGGAGTCAGATAACATTGTGGAGCTGGAGGAACACAGCAGGCCAAGCAGCATCAGAAGAGCACGAAAGTTGATGTTTCGGGTCCCTAGACCCCATTTCAGAGACTCCGGCCAATGTCAAGCAGCGACTGGAGGAACAAGAAGATGAGTGAAATGAACGCTATTGCAGTGAAATCTTGCATTATATTCCATGTTTCAAATGGCACTGGCAGACAAGGGTCCTGACCCTAAACGTCAACTTTCGTGTTCCTCTGATGCTGCCTGGCCCGCTGTGTTCCTCCAGCTCCACATTGTGTTATCTATATATCTCCTTAAGCCTTTACATTTTCAAGAACCCAGTCTCCACTCATCCCTGAGGAAGAGAGTTCCATAGGCACAGGACCCTCACGACTTAAAATATCAAATGAGGAAGGGTCACCGGACTGGAAACGTTAACTCTGTTTTCTCCTCCACAGATGCTGCCAGACCTGCTGAGCTTTTCCAGCAACTTTGTTTTTGTTCCTGATTTACAGTACCCGCAGTTCTTTTGGTTTTTATTTAAAATATCAAATCTCTGCCTTAAATGGGAGACCCCTTTCTGTTGAATTATACTGCCTTGTTCTGATGTGTCCCACAGGGGGATTTAGATTTAGGTTTGTTGTCACATGTATATAAAAAGTACAGTGAAAAACAGTTTTTTGCTTGCTGTGCACAAGGTGTCACCACGCTCCAGTGCCATTTGAAACACGGAATATAATACAAGATTTCACTGCAATAGCGTTCATCTCACTCATCTTCTTGTTCCTCCTGTTGCTGTTGACATTGGCCGGAGTCTCTGAACTGGGGTCTGGGGGTCTCTGTAAAGGACTCTCGGGTCTCAGTTATGTGCTTGCGCCACTGTCACAATCACAACTACCATATCCAAACTGCAGCCATGGGCTTGGAGATACATTGGTTCCGTATCTCCTGTTCCCCATCTGATGCTCCTCCAGATACTGCCACCGTTCACTGGTTGTCAGGGTCCTCTGCTGTCCCTTTGGTCGATGCTACTGCTCAATCTGGACCCTCAGCTCAGCCTGCAAGTCTGGGCTGGGGGAGTTAGCCCGGGACTCGCACCTCATTCGCCGGGAGACCCCAGGCTGGGTAGAACTGTGTCAGGTTATTCTGCTGCCACCAGAGACCTCCTTTCACCCGCTAATCTCCAGGCCAGACACCTCAGTCAGAGCAGGAAACATCCTCTTGGCATCCAGCCTCTCAAGTCCCCTTAGGATTTTATGTAATTCATTATTATTTTTTCATGCTTCTGAACTCTATTTGATAGAGGCTCAAACTATTCATGGGGCGACCCCTCATTCTATGAATTAGTCAAGTGAATTGTTATGAATTCTGTTCTACCGAATATCAGACCCTTTAACAGAAGGCCTGGGTTCAAGTCCTACCTACCCTGGAGGTGTGTCATAATTTGTCTGAACTGCTTGACTTAAAAGAACCAATCTAAATTTTTTGATGTTCCAATCCTGAAAAGGCAAGGTATTTGAAACCACTTAAGGCTGTATAAACAGTGTGAAATTGATAGCACAGATCTGATAGCCAAGCTGTTGATCAAGTAGGGACCCAGGTGTTTTCAACAGCCTAAGAATTGTCTGGACTCTGTCAAGAATACGTAGTTTATTCCTTTTCACTTTTTACTCCCATCCCTTACTGGAAAGCTGTTCTCCATCACTGGTGTTTGGCTTCCAGCTTTTGAAATAAACCCACAGCAAAAGCCTTCCAGGTGAATCATGTCTAGGTGAAAAAATGTTTTCGTCAAATCCCCTCTAAACCTCCTGCTCTTTAGTACAGTCATTAACCAGGGGCCCTGGTTAATGACTGTACTAAAGGGAAACATTTCTCCCTATCTATCCTGTTTATGTGCTTAATAACTTTATATACCTCAATCAGGTTCCCCTCAGCCTTTCATGATCTAAGGAAAACAACCCCCAAGGCAATTGAATGTGTCTTCATAACTGAATCAGTCCAGCCCCAGGCAGCACCCTGATGAATCTACCCTATACATCCTTTAGTGCAAACACAGTTTTCCTATAGTGTGGTTATCTACCTGTCTATTGCCTTCAAGGATCTATGGATTTGCACACCACATTCATTTAACATCTACATCATGGGAAAAAGCCCTTCGTGTTACACCAATCAAAATGAACCATCTAACTATTCCAATTTTCTAGCACTTGGCCCATAGTCTTATATGTCTTGGCATTACAGGAGCATATCTAAATAATACTTAAATGTTATGAAGGTTTCTGCCTCTTCTACTTTTACAGGCATTGACTTTCAGGTTCCCATTACCCTCTCCATGAAAAGTTGTTTGCCTCCATTTCCTCTAAACCTTCATCTTAAATCTTTGCCCCTTGGTTATTGATTCCTCCAGTAAGGGGAAAAGTTTCTTCCTATCTATCCGGCTAAGCCACTCATAATTTTACACATCTCAATCATGTCCCCCTCTCAGTCTCCTCTGCTCTAAGGAAGACAATGCCAGTCTATAACTTTTCCAAGTTCTTAAATATTACCTGTGGACTGAATCTTAACGGTTTTGGCTAAGTGTGAGTTGTGTTGAGCTTTTGGATGGTTTCTTGCTGAGAGGCCTAGCAAGTTTCTCACCCAGTCTTACCAAACTTGCCTACCAAGTCCCTATGCTGTCTCTCACATCTGATTTCTATCCAACCTTACCACGTGCTGTTCTTTTTGCTTTCCTAATTTCCTTTTTATGTTCCCTCATGAACATTCTATACTCCTCTTAGGGCTTCTACTGCTTTAAGCCCTCAGTTTCTGCATAAGCCTCCTTTTTCTCCTCATCCAATTCAGTGTATCCCACAGTATCTAGGACTCACTGGATTTTTCGTAATAGCTTTTATCTTTATTGGGACATGTTGGCCTTGTACTGTCTCTGTTTCCTTCTTGAAAGTGCCAGTGCTATCTTTAAAAACGCATTGTGTACCTCGACAAGCACTGTCTGACTGGAGCCAACCTGCACAGTTGCTGACATTTGCCCCGGAAATGGCACATAGGGAAATCAGTGCCCTGCTTTGTGAACAGGGTCCTGGAGGTCCTGCTAGAGCATGGTGTCTCAGGCGGGATGCCTTCTACCCTAGGACCACAGTGGAGGCCACAACATCAGACCATGGTGGCCTGGCCTGAGTTTGGCACCTGGGTTAATACAATCTCTTGCAGTGTCCAGCAATGTAGGAAAAAAGACAATGTTTCTCTCTGCTGACACCCGATGTTGCTAGAAACTGAGCAGCAGCACTAATCTAGGTATGTGATTGCACATAATTCCAGAAACGCTATGTTATCATGTAAAGTTCCAATGACATCGTACATAAAGAAACTGCACATGCACAGAAAAGAAGTGTGTCAATGTACCCACATCCCACCAGGGCTTACGCTCTTTTACTTTCACTAGTGTGTTGCAGCAGGGACCCAGGTTAGATTCTAGCCTGGGATGATTGTGTGGAGTTTGCACACTCTCCTTGTGTGTGGATTTCATCTGGGTGCTCCGGTTTCCTCCCACAGTCCAAAGATGTGCAGGTTAGCTGGATTGGCAATGATAAATTACCTGTAGTGTCCAGGGATGTGTAGGCTAGGCGGAGTAGCCACGATAAATGTAGGGTGACAGGGTGGTGGGGGGTGGGATGCTCTTTGGAGGGCTGGTGGAGACTCAATGGACCAAATGGCCTTTATCTGCACTGTAGGGATTCTATGATCATCTCTCACTCACTCTGATCCACCACAATATCTGATCCCACTAGCTGTGCACATCCTCTGTGCTGTATACTCACATTCTCGTGACACCTTCCCATGCCCATCAGTAGTCATAGCTGTCCCACCTACTTTTGTCCTCCATAATACCTGCCTTTTTATCATTCTATGAGGAAAACAGACCATAATAGAGAAGAAAGATACAAGATGAGTGTTGTGCTTCCTAACATTTGGCTCCTTATTCCTTGTTTGGAGAGGATCCTGAGCGGGGCCTGGACTGGTATCAGAGGCTGCTCTTGAACTACTGTGCCAGGAGCTCCCGAGTGAAGGCCTGCTGACAATTATGACAACCTAAAATAAAACAAAGAACTACAGACGCTGAAGATCTGAAACAAAACCGGTAATTGCTGGCAAAACTAAGCAGGTCTGGCAGCATCTGTGGAGAGAAATCAGAGTTAATGTTTCAAGTCCAGCGACTCTTCTTCAGAACCAATTATGACAATCTTCCTGGCTTTATGTCTCTGTTAAACAGAAAGACTAGACAGCAGCAATATGAGCATGGTATCTCTGGCTAAGGGAGCAAAGCACTGAAAGGCAATGCAAGGCAGGGTGCTGTGAGCATGATCAGAGGTGTCACCAATATCTTTGAACAGTGTTAATTGATTAAGAAGAGAATTACTGTGCTAGAGAATCAGGATGTCTCAGGAGAGGTCATTTTACTTGAAAAGACAAACAAAAAAGATGCAGTTACATCAGTGTTGTCTTTGGCCAAGAACTAGTGGGAAAGATACAGATGAACAAATTTATAAGGAAATTACAGAGTAGTGCAAAACTATAGGAAATTTGTAGTGGGGGAGTGTAATTATCCAAATAAAACCTGGGATAACAGTGGAGAGGGACAGTACAAAATAAAGAACACAATTCTAAAGGAATTGAAGGAGCAGAGGGACCTGGTTGTATATGTGCATCAGTGATTGAAGATAACTGGACAGGTGGAAAGAACAGTGAAAAATGCATAAAGTGTCCAAGGCTGTTTTATATTATTTTCCTATGGAATATGAGTGTCTCTGATAAGGCAAGCATCTGTTGCCCATCCCAGATTGCAGTTGGACTGAATGTTTTACTAAGCCATTTCTCAACTACATTGCTATGGATCTATTCATCTGGGACTATCTAACTGAAAAGGATAGGGATCCAGACCTCGTGGTTCCCAATTTGGAAACAAGAATGCTTGTTATGCATCACACCTGTGTGCAGACACTGGAAATCATCTCTGAGAATTTCTGATAGCGACAGGATCAATTGGACAAGCTTTGTACCACAAGGAGTGCATTTTATGATGAACTGTACCCTGTCCCTCTCGAGATTTCTATCCAATCTTAGTGGGATCAAATGTACTTGATGAATTTGCCCCATATTTATGCACAGCTTGATCATTTATCATTTTAATTATTTAAGGGCAATTGAATACAAAAATAGGAAAATTATGCTTCATTTGTTCAGGGCATTGATGACATAGGGTCTGGAATGCTGTGTACAATAATGGTCACCTCACTTAAGGCAGATACTTGGAATGGGTCGGTAGGAGAATAGTGCAGAAGAGTGCGTGGTTTAACAGTTGGTGCAGGAGTGAGGGTTTTAGATTCCTGCGTCACTGGGACCATTTCTGGGGAAAGTGGAACCTGTACAAGCGGGACAGTACATATCTGAACAAGCGTGGGACTAACATTTTTGCAGGACAGTTTGCTACTGCTGTTGGGAAGAGTTTAAACTGATTTGCTGGGGGAGGGGACATAGATTATTAACAGAATAAAACCACAGATTCATACAGTAAAACAACCAAGTCGCAGGGGCTCCATCCCTGCCTCTTTGACCTGTCTGTTTCCTCTCCACCTATCTTCTCCTCTATCCATCTTCTATCCGCCTCCCCCTCT